ATTGAGGACTGATTGAGATTGGAGGTCTTGGAGACCAGATCTCCCTCATAGAGGTGATGTCCTGATGTTGTATGATGGGATGTCGTGGACTTGCTGATAGATGATGCTTGATGGACTTCTGTGTGGGAATCAATGAGAACTAGTATGTTGGAATCAGATTGATGAGAAATTTGATAGATTACAAGTCGACATTTTTGCTAGACACGTTCTTCAAAACAACTAACATTTTAAAAAAAAACAGAAAACCACAAATCACAAAAACGCGTTAAAACCACACCCGCATAACGTCGTTTTCTGTTTTTTAAGGGGAAACCCTGGAAAAAACCACTAGATTCTACTTGATGTTTAGGGGTTTTCCATGCGACCCCAAAGATGGAAACGCAAACACACTGAAACACACTGATTATGTTTCCATCTTTGGTTTCTCTCCAGTTTTTGCCGTGAAGTACCAAAGATGGAAGCTTGACCGCCCTTTCTGAAAAAAAAAACGTCAAAAAAGCGTCTGGCTTTTGGCGAAATTGAGTTTCTATCTATTTGGCCGTCGTTATATATCTAGGCTTGTTTGTTCCTTTCAGGTCGTCAGTCGCGCTCAGTTTCTCTCCGTGGGCAAACCCCATCTCCAAGGGTTTTCAATTTCATGAAAGATTTCAACCAACCAGGCGGGTAGTGCACGACTGAGAGACACTACCCAAGGAAGACGCTGTCAGCTCGTGGTGAAGCAATGTGGGACGCCACATGGTGTACCTGCTATATGAGATAATGAGTTTAAAAACGCTGACTTTTCGCCTTACTGCTCGCTCAGGGCCATTGACAGGTTCAGGTCTGCTTGCACTAATCAACTAAAGGAGTAACTAGACTGTAAAGTGTTAGTGCATGTCTGGAACCACCTTGAATCACGCTCTGGCGAGCTCTTTCTCAAGTGCGTGGGATGGGCTAAGAAACAAAGACTCTCTCCAACAAACATCCAAAAAAAATGGTCATGCTTTCCTACTCGCCTTGAGCGTTGCAGCATCAAGGAAAGCTCCAATTTGTGCCATGTCACGTTGTGCCAGACTGCTGTGAAGGCGACGAGGCCTCACATCTTTGGAAAAGGAAAACACTTGCAACAACATCGTTTCAATGGATGCTTGAATGGATGCTTCGTTTCAAGATATCTTGCACACTGCATCCTGCCTCCCAACTCAGGAAAGTCTCTGGCTCCGCCATCACCGGAGGGATGGGAGGTGCCACAGGCATCTGATGCAGGTGGCTGTGATCTCGATAAGGGCGGCTGCTGTTCCCTGGGTAGTCTTGCAAGTACCAGCTTCCAGGAATATTTCCACCGTCTCGCCGAGGCTGTGGGGCCAGCCACGCAGCTGGGTTCACATGCTGCTTTGGCATCGGCATATGCCCTGAAGAACCAGAGTGCGCCGAACCATGAACAGACTCGCGCGCAGAACCACGTCCTGACCCGTGGGCAGAACCTGCATCCAGTGCGTCAAATGCCATCTAGCAATGTAATGGTTCAACGTTTCGGCTACAAAGTGTCTTGCACAAGAATGATAAGAGCAGCTTGCAAACCATTTAGGCATAACGACGGTGACGATAAAAACAAGGGGAAAAAGGATTGTTGGTGTTGTTCTTTTTCATTCATTTGTTTTATGGAAAATGTTTCATTGTTGTGGAAGGTCTTTCAAAAGAGGATATATGATAGATTATCGAGCTGGAACGCAAATCTTGTGCCTTTTTGGCCGTCGTTAAAGAGCAATAACTTGCCAATGGAACAAAAGAGCACCTCTGGAGGAATTGGATCGGTGATCAGAGACCTGAGAAAGGTTGAGCAAAAGGAAAACAGTGCAAGAAATGACCTCTCATACTCGCCAGTGCTCCCAAACTCTCTTGGGATTCCAGCCTCTGAAAAAGCAGTGCTGTCGGAACTGTTCTCCTTAGATCATGCTGTGCTCGCAGTGATCCCATCCTTCTGGCGCCCCTCGCGCAAGATGATGCTCCTTCCTACAAGTGACGTATTATCCACTGCCCGCCCAAAAAGTGGTGAGGGCCCAGTGACCAGTGCCACCTGCCCGACACTGGCGCAGTCGGTTGCTGTTGAGGCGGCTGGAAGGTAGGCTCGAGGCCGAGAACGCAAAATCAAGCACTCCACACACTTGGGACAAGTCCAAACACAAGGCCACAGTGTCGAAGGATTACAATGAATGGAGCAAGACGAAGTCCAGGAGGCAGGAAGAACCAGTGACAGCCAATCCGCAAGCCCAGCGACTGAGTCTTGCAACTGAAGCAGCTGAGCTTGTTGGAGATCCTCTTTGAGGGTTGTTATGTTATGTTATGTTGGTGGACATACTCTTTTGTCCGATTTCAGCTCATTCTTATCACACTACATTCTAACTAGACCAGCCGACATACAACATCAAATCAGGATAAGCCTCAGTGAAACTCCTCTTATTGAAACCCCTCTTATTGTATAATCTGCCAAGAGTCAGTTTCGCTGTTCCGCTCTTGCCTGCTTTCCCTCTGCTCTGTGTGGATGCGGGTCATCAACTGCCGGGCTTCTGCCAACCTCAGGCGTCAGTCTGTGTCAGTCCGCTATTGCTTTACTGCACGACCATGACGCATGAATGTAGAAAAACAAAAGACTCGCTACACTAACTTTGGATCTAAGATAGGAGCATGTCATCCGTGACATGTCTCTGAACCAGGCTAGAGATGTCCTTCATGTTTGAGAATGAGTTTAACCGCAGTGAAATCAATGAGGATTCAATCAAGTTGTTTTGGAAAAACTGATGGGTGCCATCCATGACAATTCATACAAAAAACTCCGTAAGATTCAATGGGTCGTCTGCCTTTCAGGTGCCTTTTGATAAATGACAGAAATGTGACTGGTAGTCGAAAGCGTGTCTCTCTGTCTCTCTATATAAAGCTCTTCCTCTTCCTCTTCCTCTTTCTTTTCCTTTTGTATCACTCCCCACACTCTCTCTCTCTCTTTTTCTCTCTCTCTCTCTCTCACTCACTTCGCTCTGTCTCTCTCTCTCTCTCTCTTGTGTGAGAGTGTTTTGATCAAATGTCTCGTGTAAGAAATCTCGAGTTTCTGTCCTTGAGCCGCTGTCCATCTCGGAATACTGCCATACCATGCTTCATGACTGGAGCTTCGGAGAGGACAAAAGCAAGGTTTGGGCCTCAGCGGACGACCACGGAAGATTGCATGGGACCAGAAAGCAACTAGCTTGAAGGGCCTAGGACAAAAAGTCAAATAAATCAAAAGAATGAAAACATGAGAGTTTCCAGTGGCCAAGAGAGGAGCCAACAAAACACCAATTGCAAAGACTCGTGTTGTGAAGCACAAAGGATAATCTGCATGTATGCATATGTGCATGCGTGCATCTGTGCAGCATGTTTGCATGTAATGTCCTGTAACGAACTGCAATGTTGATGTTTACGTCACTGTTAAACAAATGTAGTGTAGTGTAATGTGTGCATGCGTTAAAAAAACGTAATGTGATGCAATGTAGCGGTATGCGCACGTATGTATGTATGTATGTATGTATGTATGTAATGTAATGTAATGTAATGTAATGTAATATAATGTGATGTGATGTGATGTGATGTGATGTGATGTGATGTATTGTAATGTCATGTATGTAATGTATGTAATGTATGTAATGTATGTAATGTAATGTAATGTATGTAATGTAATGTAATGTAATGTAATGTATGTATGTATGTATGTATGTTATGTATGTATGTGTGTATGTATGTATGTATGTATGTTTGTATGTATGTATGTGTGTATGTCTGTATGTATGTCTGTCTGTATGTATGTATGTGTATGTATGTCATACTGTATGTCTCTATTTTTCTGCGCTCCTTTTCAGCATCTCACCTTTCAGGAGGGCAGGAAGCTTCGTCTGGCCTCCTGTGTCCGGTCTGCGCCTCTTTCGCAGATTTCTGCTTGGCTGCCATCCACTTTCACTCCAAACTGCATGTGACCAACACAGGTGGCACGCCAGTTTGCCTGCTTTGCGTGACAGGGCATGGGTTGGGCGCCCTTACCACTCAGGAGACTTGCTTCATACATCCACTGCTCTGATCTTGTCACTGGCATGTTGCAGGCCCCGCGCACGACAGAGCTGGCATACCACGCACTCGAAACTGTGCTGGCCATGCCCTTGAATGTACCCTCCTTGAGGCGGTTCTCGTCAGCTGTCTGGAGACCAATTGCGCGCACGCACTGAGCAGTCTTAGCCGCCTGCAACTCACTGGCCTTGTCGCGCATGGCGACCCTGGTTTTGCACCTTTGGCATTGAAGACCGCATCCCTTGGCCTCCAGAGATGCCCTTCAAGAGGAGGGTTGCGCGGCATGTATGCATGTATGCGTGTGCGTACGTACGTACGTAGGTTCCTTGCGCCACAACAGGCGGGGCTCACCACTCTTCATCCCAACAAACTTGCACGGCCATGTCCTTCAACTCGTCCCTGGCTGCATCTTTCAAGGTCCACAAAGCCCTGCGCCAGCTTCTGAATGAACTCAGCCTGTGGCTCCGCACTGGGAGGATCAGCTTGGCCACTTGCTAGCTCACAGTTGGCTGTGGCAGCCTCCGGCGCTCTTGTTTTCTGCGCTGCTATGCATGGTCAGCCGCTTTTTGCGCTACGCCCTTTCAGCTCCCAAGCATGTCCTCCTGGTCCAGATCGTCGAGGAAGCTTCTTTTGTTCTCGAGCCTGACGTCGTTCCTCCTTGCCTTTCTCTCTTCTCTGCGCGCACTTGGCGTCCTGCTCCTTGATCTCAGCTTCTACATCCGTTCTATTCGAAAGCGCAACCTCCTTGGCCGCCTTGCTGGCATCAGCTACGCGGTTCCTGAGGGACCGTTCTGCCGACTCATGGCCTTGACGCGGAGTCCTTGCAAAGCCACAACAAGTGCACCGGCATGGCTGCCTGTCCGCAGTCAGGGCGCTGACCATCAGCTACTTGGTGAAAGGAGCTCCTTGGTGCGAGATTTGTAGGGCAGTCAGCGTCTGCGCGGCGTACCAGACGAGTCTTGTTTGGGGCTCTCCGCTGCTGGATGTCCAAGTGCATCCAATCCCCTAGCACCAAACCATTGCACCATTGCATGGTCTTCTGACGATCTTCCGGAGATAGGTGTTTCAATAAGAAAGGTAGGCGTACGTGAGCACCCAACCTGCCATTTTCATGGTGGAGATGAGTGTTCCAGCTCGTGAGGTCCAGCCTCGCGGTGGTGCACCTGTTGCCTCAAGTCAACCTGGTAACGATGGTCAATGACCTTGTCAGTCAGCCATAGTCACCAGCTCGGTGGCAAACTGTGATGCATCATGCACATGTTCGTCAAGTCTGTCCCACAAAAAAGCTGCCATGGCAGCAGCCGCAGTCTTGTTCCTTCCATAGCTTTGGGCCTGCAAGGAAACTGCCGGCCCGGCCGGCCCACGCCCAAAGCCTGAAAGGCGAAATTGCATAGAATCGACTGCGCTGGTTGCCCAATCAAGATGGTAGATTGTCCAGTGATGCGGCTCCTCAGGTGTGGTCTCCATTGACGCTTTGGTTCCAGAAGCTGGTTCCATGAGTTCATCGTTCATTTCACCTGCTCCACCACAAAAAAGGCTGAAAAAGGTGCGTTCCGTCATCACCTGTGCATCATCAGGCGATGTCCACAAGTGCTCTGGCCCGGAGCAAAGAGGCCCTGCTTCGTTGCCTGAACCAATGTCTGCGTGGTCAAAGTCCGTGCCTGCATCCATGTCCCAGATGCGCCCCCTGCTGCATAGTCGGGTCACCCACATTTCCTTCTTTTTACGGCGTTCTCGCTGACCTTCAGTGCAGAATCCGTCACCTGCTCTGAGGTGGCGCGCACGCCCACACTGGACATGGCGACCATTGACTTCTCCACCGTAGTTTCTTCTGGGTTTACCTCCTCATCCTCAGCTGCTTTCTTGTCCTGCTCCAGCTGCTGGTTGTACAAAGTGGTCGAGTGCTGGAACTCCTTTTGCGCTGCCTCAATCTTGTTCTGCAACTCCTTCAACTTCTGCAGCCAGGCAAATATTGACCTTTGACCCCATCTGTCTTGGCTTGTAACGCCACCTTCTTCTCAAACAACTGCTTCAGCGTGCCAACCAACTGCTTCAACTTTGTTGTCAATGTTGGTTCGGGTTTGGGCGCGGCAATCTTCTCCACCGCCTCCTTGAGCTGTGCTGGCAAGCTTTGCAAGTGCTCCTTGATCAACGTGGGCACCAGCTAGCTTGAGGATGAGATGGCCTGAGCCTCCTTGAGCCTTGTATGTACGTATGTATGTATGTATGTATGCATGCGTAAACAATAGGCGTGCAAACTGCACAGCCCCCAGGTTTCACACGTGGCATCGCACACACACGTTCTAACGTCGCAAAAAACACCGCAGGGCCAGCAGAGTCGAAACACAACACGGCGCTACTCCGGCGGCTCTCGCATTCTCAGGCAGCCGATGGGTCAGACTCATGAACACGGCCAAATGCTCCCCAAGCATATGATATATGCATCACCCGAGAAAAACCCCATGACGTTGCGCGTTTAGATTGATGCGTACAAAAGCATGCGCGCAAACAGTGCAAAATGATGTTGCGCGTATAAGGTCTACGCGTGCACGTGCACAAACATATGCACGAACCTGGAGTTCCCCGCATTGTCAAGCAGCCTTTGGTTCAAACGCACGTTTCAATGAACAGGGCTTTGCCAAATCTATATTTTTGATATACATAAGTTCCCCGAGCATACGCATTACCCGAGCAAAACCCTATGATATGCGTACACAAGTACGCGCGCAAATACTACAGTATGATGTTGCGCGCAGAATTCTATGTCCACAAGAGTATGCGACAAACAATGCAATATGATGTTGCGCGTGTAAGTTTATGTAGACAAAGCCAACACTCTTTTCATGTTGCCAGCACCATGAGTACCAGCACCGCCACCACCACCAAACAGCCAGCTCACAGCACCAGCACCCAGCACCGGCACTCTGTCTCCACAACCCACACAGCCAGCTCACCGCACTGGAGCACAGGAACCTAGCACCGGCACCCAGCACCGGCAGCGTAAAGTGAGAACATCATAGTTATCGCTATCTGGGAGTTTATCACTACGTTCTTGTTTAAACAAGCGCTCTTGTTACCACCACTAGTGAAATCTTGCTGAGTAGTTGACTTAAGTGTGCATGTCTTAAGCTAGAGCTAAGCCTGACAGTTCCCGGTGTGTGTGTGTGCCCCTTGTAATCACAGGGATTCCGTTGAATTGTTACTTCTTTTTTCAGCAGGGGAACTGGGCACTCTGTGACTGACCCAGTTCAACGAAGCTAGGTCACAGAGTGGGATATTCGGACTGATCATCCGAACGTACCTGCGATTTTTCCGTTTTTTCTGAATGTCCTTACTGGTACTCTTAGGAAATGGAACCCTAGGCCGGCGTGTGGCACCGCCATCAGTTCCGTACGCATTTCCATAAGTGTGTGTTATAGTGTAAGTCAAGTCAATATTGTTTGTAAGGACAGCCTGGTAGTGGCGTTAGGTGAACCGGTAAGCCTAGTAGCATGAGAGCAAAACTGCTGGGTCTCCGACCCAGCCCTTGCACATATGCTCTTTTCACCATGCGAAAGGTGTGCGGGCTTCTCGCCTGCAACTCAAAACTGAAGACTGGATTCATCTGGGAAAGCTTGTAGATTCATCGACTATTGTAATTGTAGTCTTCGTTTTGAGTTGAACCACATCGAAAGTGGCTACGACTGCCCGTCAAAACTATGCATGCAAAACGGCCTCGTAAAGCTGTTGGAAGGCCCTCCTGTGGTGACAATTTGGACAAAAGGAGTTAGACACCAAAAAGATTCTTTATGATATCAAGGATATCTATCCCTGTACTTCAAGACGACACATCTACAGTCACATCAAATAGAAACAGACCCGAAGCATCTCCACGAACCAGCAGAGCTCCAAACAGGAAGAGTCACACAAACAATCAAGTAAATTGCTGGTGTCGTCTTCATCAGCTCCTTGCTGCAAAGTGATCTTCGTAGTTGATCTGGGAGGAAAAAAGACATGCAAAGGAAATGGTTCATCTCGAAGATTGAAAGCTACTTGTACTATATACCAGACACCCCTCTGACACTTGCAGTGGACCCCCAGCCAAAAAAGAGCATCCTGCAATGTGTGAGGGAGGACGAAATTTGCGGCAAAAGGATGAACAACCAAACTCCGTCCTCGCCGAGAAATGGCTTCAACATGCCCATGCTCTAGAACTTAGAACCTCATATATCAATATTATATTGTCTTGGCGGTCAAAGAGCTAAGTCCAGAATCCCTTCTTGCAGGCAAGCGGCGAAGGCCAGTCCCAGGTTGGTTGCTCGCTTGTTGCCCACAGGCACATATACCAGGTCATAGTTGCTGGATATATTTCGCAGCCTCAAGCACTCCAAATGTGTCTTGCATGGGACTCGAGTGTGATTTCACAAGCATCAAGGAAAGGCGTGTTTGGCAATTGTCCAAGGCTACAGCAGCTTCAAAAAGCCTTCCAGGTTGATGCTCCGCACCAAGCCCCTGTTCAATATGAGTCCACAAACGAAAATAGTAAAAATAATCATAGTAATAGTATATAAATATAAATGGTTTTTAGTAAACAACTTGGACGACCCACTGCCTAAGCATGATTGTCGTAGCACCATCTTGCAAGCCTTCAGTTGGAGCCTCCTGCAACCAAAGTTCTGACTTTTTAGGTGAGCTTGAAAAGGGAAAAGAGTCTAACTCGAGTCTAACTGCCTGGTATTCAAAGTGGCTCATTCTCCCAGAACGACCTGAAGGGGTGCATTTGCAAATAATCTGAAATTGCAGCAGCATATGATGCAATGTTGGGTTTTCCAGCCTGATTCACTTGATCCTAAAGATGTATCCATCTTCACCTGAAGCTGCACAGCCTCGAAGCCACAGGGTCGAGCACTTTTCAACGAGCATGTTGAGGTGCACAAGCTCAAACAGTATCAAAGGCTGTGCTGTTTCTAAGCAGTCAACGGTCTGCTCAAGTCAAATTGCATCTATTTGAAGTAGTCGATCCAAAATTGCAGAGGATGCCAGCACAAGAGTCAGAAAGAGCACAGCAAGCCCAATGAATGTAGAGTGACAAATGTTGGACTCCAGAAATACTTGAAAATACTTGAAAAAATAAAACAGCAAAAACACAGGTGGCTTGAGTTGGCGAAAGCAACAAGCAAGTCACTTAGTCCTGCATAGCAGGAAGCTTGAAAAACATGAAGTCAATGTCGACGGTCTTGTGCCTCGGGTCGCTCAAATGTCGTTTGGCTTACCTAAATAGATTGTCAGCTTACCCAAGTTTCTTGCGCCAAGACATGATGCGCATCCAGCTTCTTTTTCAGCTGCTCTTCCCTGAGGTGCTAGCGTCTGGAAGAAATTCACAAATCAACTGACACGCACCTCCAAGCCATGGTTTCCTCAAGAATCTCCATCACCAATTCGCTTGAGTGTTGCTCCAAGACCTGTGGAGCGCTTGAAGCATAACAATTTGCGCCAAGTCAGGGCGTTTCCTGCTTGGGCATGCAGAGATTTGCTACCCAAAGACCTGCCGCAGCTCCCCCGCTGCTTCTGTTTTCTGGCTTTGTATGGTAGCAGTGAGAACCCCCCAATCAATGGTTTCAAAGTCTAGTTTTGCTCTTCTAGGCCTATTTCAATGCACCCAAGTATAAATCCAAAGACATCGAGGAAAGGCGCCTCAAGAAAGGACCTCGCAAGCACCTGGCTGAACCGGATGTAAGAGAACACCGAATCAAATTCACATGTAAACTCAAAGGATTCTGCTTGACAAAGAAGGACTCACGGCGCTGCTAGAGCCCACCACTTTTTCATGCCCACTAAACGCTTGGCCACTAGGTCAGGTCGATGACAGCACCATCATCACAGCCTCTGTTTCAAGCACAAGATTAATGAGACTTGGCCTTATCATTGGGCAGTTAAGCCAAATCTCACACTTGAAAGCTCCACTATGTATCTTCACGGCCAAGAAGCTTTCGCTTTCGATTGACCGCTTGCAACCTCGCTGATCTCGCCAAAGCCTATGTTGTGCTAAAGCACTGATTTGCAGCACAAGGACAAGTTCAATCCAAAACCAAAACTTCTTTGGACCAGCCTCGGCATTGGCCAGAAAGTCTTGGGCGTGGCGCTGCACGAGCTCAAATGCCTGCTCACAAGCAAGAGGCACAAAGACTATCTTGCCAATGTCGTTGGCCTCTTCAACTCTGCAAAGCCACGGCCAAAGTCCACCCCACAACCTAGGCGACGCTCAAGCAGCTGCTTGCGCTGTTTCACGGCAAGACCACAAGAACAAAGTCTACGTCCGTGTGGACTATTGAAAGCAATGCGGTCTTATGGAGGTTGTCGACCAAAAGGTACCACAAATATTCATGCTGACAGGCGTGAGTGGGTACAATCAACAATGTGTCCATTTCTTCTACATGCGACATTTTTGAGAAGATGTTTTCTGTACCAGCTGGCTTCAGTTTTGCGTATATACAAGGCTGCCACAAGGCTTGTACTAGGCAGTCGCAATCTTAACCAGAGAATGACAAATTGGCAGAAAGTTCATGATTGCAATATTCCAGAAAGTGCTTTGTCTAAAGGTCACTACGTGGTTCGTTCAAAGTCCAAGGTTCCGGGGCTTCTGTGAGTGTGTCGCAAGGCTGCTGAAGAGCTTTTCATTGGCTGAAGCTCGATAAACAGAATGGTTAAGAACAAGGACAAGAATCCAAAGACAGCCTCACATCTTTCCGTCCTTGCTCCTAGCAGCGATGCCCTTTGTTCCTAGTAGCTTCTTGTTCCTAGAAGTAAGGCCAGGAGCCCCTAGTAGCGTCCATGTTCCTAGTAATTCGTTTTGTGCCTGTCTTTGCACAAGCCAATCAAGAAGCACTGGCAGGACACCAGTGAGACTACTGTGTTGGGCGACTTGCTTGAAATTGATGGGACACTGTGTACAAGGGTGATGCCCTGCTGTCAAAAAATGTGCCAGGACACGATGGCAGCATAGTCTCCGCTTGTTCATGGCATCTTCCAATTCCTGCAATGACCTGCATCAACAAGTCACCAAACAATGTCTCAAAAAGCTCGGCATGGGCCTGTGGGAGAAGCCACCCTCTTGCATACGGGCAACCACAGTGTCAAGGGACACCTTGGTTTTCGATATTGATTTCAAGCTTAGAGCTAAAGAAGACAGTCTAAGCTGAGCTGCTAGGAAGGGCGGAAGAAAAGAACCTTGGACATTGGCGTGGAAGACCTTGCATATGTTGACATGTTGGATCCAGAAAGCTGACTAAGACAAGCTGCTGAAGTGCTTCGCTTTCCTAACAAAAAATGTTTGGTGAATGCATACAGCTTGGAAAAACAAAGCAGAGATTGTCTTTGTCTCACGAAACAAGAAGCTTGGGCTGCTTGCTGAGGCAAGGGCTTCATGCAGGGCGATTCAAAGTCCATTGAAAGCACATGCACGTGCAGTTGTCTGAGGGAGGGAACAGAATGAAGCCCATGCGTCCAGCCTGAAAACAAATCTCTCTCCTACTTCCTGCCATGCTTAGAATCTGGTGCATCCAAAAGTCCAACTCCGGGATCTCCAGGTTTGCCTTCCACCTGCTCCATCAACCATGCCACATACGCTGATAAACGCCTCGTGAATCCAGGTGTGATGAAATGAGTGGCAAAGCATAGGCAAAGCAAGGTGGAAAGCACACTTCACTCAATCGCCAAAACGACAACATTTCAACTCGCCTCATGTCTTTTTTGACTAGGAGCAAGGACGCTATTAGGAGCAAAGGGCATCGCTACTAGGAACATGGACGCTACTAGGTGCTCCTGGCCTTACTAGGAACAAGAAGCTACCAGGAACAAAGGAGTAATGAGCAGCAAAGACAGAGGCCCCAAGGAACAGAAACGACAGCAGATCGGCAGCACCAGCAGCCCGGTGGAATGCAAAAGGAAGAAACACTTGGCACAGATAGACTAGAGCCTGGCATACAGGACCCAAACTAATTCCCTGATTCATACAGGGAACTAGATTGAAACTTCATACTGAGGCACATCAGCAGCGGCAAATGTTCGTGGGTCAACTTCTCAAGGGCCGCGATGCGAACTCTGCGAGGCAAAACAAGTAAGTGGACTGCCGCCTTCAGTGAGCTGAGAGCACCACAAAAAGCAAGGGCTGAGAGCTGAGAGCTTTCTGAACTTTGGCTTGTCAGTCTCGCCTTTGGGTAGCCATCATGAATCGTCACAAATTCCTTAACCGCAGCAATCTTCTGCCATGTGTCCATAAAAGCAATTCCGAAGCCTCAGTGATATGAACGACGTGTGGTTGTAGAGAAGTATCTCCAGCATCCAACCCGTCCAGCACCTGGATTGAGACAGTAAAGGAGAAGCCTGGTAAAGCACGTTGAGCGCAAACTAATTTCCACGGACCATCTCAATTAAGCCAACAGTATATTCATGTTGTCTGTGCAGAATGATCATTGACCTGCTCAAGAATCGTTGAGAAGTGGCCGGACCGTTTGACAGGCCCGGGATTCGGAGCAAGAGCTTGTGGAACCTCTCCTGGTTTGAAGCGGCAAGTCTGAGTAAGATTCTGCTGCTGCACAGCAGCCCAAGCTCCTTTAAGAGATTGGTAAACTGTGTCAGCCATCTTTCCCAGCTCCTCAGAAAACAGAGATGCAACTATGTTCTAAGATTCAATTCTATGCTTGTTCAATTCCATTCTGGAAAGCTTGCACCATGGCATTGCAACACCTTACCCTCTGCAAAGAGTGTCTTGGCGAAAAGCCGCAGAGAATGTGCGGCAAAGATGTCCTGCTCCAACATTCAAGTGTTTGCGTAGAACAGAAGCAAGTAAAGAAACAATCTGATCAGTTCGCTCCTGCGATGAAGAGAACCAGCAAAGGAATTAGCTTATGTTGCATAAGACATTCCCAGAGTTTCCATGGCGGGCACTAGGCTTGCTCACCAGAAGATCACAGCCGATATGCTCCAAGATTCATACACCAAGTCAAAATGCTCAATTCTGAGAGCAAATTGAAAGCTTCATGAAATCTAGACTCTAGACGAAGCATGACTGCTGCACCGCCCTGCAAGCTACATATCCTTTGGCTTTGCACGTAGCCTGAAACAAGACTAACACAAACATTCTAAAGGATGCATAAAGGAGGGAGAGCAAGAACAAGCACTTCTTGACATTGCCTGGCGGCGATCCAGCTTTCGAAAGGCTGCAAGCTCTCCAAACCTGAAAAGAGAGCTTTCCAATCCATTGAATTGAATGATATACAGTATATAAATATAGTATAATTCAACCCTTTCAAGATTGGGTGTGACACTTGTGCCTTTTGCCACAAGTTGCATCTTTGTGCAATTTTTGGTCCAGGCACGTTTCTCCCTGTTGTAGCAGCATGATGAAATTGCCTTCCTTGGCAAAAAGCAAATTCTAGACTGGGGATCATTGGAGAGGACAAGCCCACAAGGCCTTCCAAACTTCCACTTCACCCTGGACGATGAAATAAACGAAGCACTTCCCAGCTTGAAACTGGTCGCCATCCTGCAAAAGGCATGTCATAGCAAGCCAATACCTCCCATACTCCGTAGAGTGCCTGCAGGATGAGCTCCCCATCTTTGAAGTTCTTGTCCACCTTTTCCGAAGGAAGAAGTTTATCAAAGCATGCCAAAGAGTTCCAGACCCAAGCTCGAAAAATATCGTTAAGATGATTCAGATTGAAAGATCTCTATCATTCTCAATGTACGACATCAGCTAAGGAATCCACCATGCGCTGGCTAAGAGCGTGGACCAAAGGTATCGGAGCATCCTCGTCATTTGCCAATGATTCCCCAAGTACTGTGTCAGCCACGACCGCCGCTGTGTTTGTGAACCTGGAAGCTCGGATTTATGGCAAAGAGGCTGGCATCTGCCTCAGTTTCCAGGGTTTTGCACATAAGGTCCAGACAAGCCATCAAAATTTTTCATATATATATATATATAATGGACCTCTGTCTAACAACTGCAGCAACATGGAAATTGGAAGCAAATATTCTGGCAACTGCACGCAGGTCGCAAAGCAGTGCGAAAAGTGAGAAGCTGGACAGTGACTATCAAGCTCACAATCAGTAAAGCAAGTGGGAGCTTTGTCCCAAAGACTCTGATGGCATTGAAATGCTGAAGACTTGGCCTGCTAAACCGAGATTTTGAATAAAACAGCAGTCAAAATCATAGTAAAGGCCAGCACAGCCAATGACTCTATCCACTCATCAGATTGCTGTGCAGGCCTAACCAAGCTCGCAAGAATTGAAAGTTCGCACAGAGACTTTCCTTGCCTGGGAGGCTGGGGATCTTCGAGCTTCGTCGGCTGCATGAGCATGTATTCCTGGGAGAACATCAGCAAATTCGTCTTACCCTTCTGAAGATTTGCAAGAATCCCAAAGCAGTGTTTCTTTTCCAAGAGAACTCGATTTTCTCGGCGGCTTCAAGTTGTTTTGGTTTGATGCCCATAAAATCTCGGTAGTGAAGCTGTTCTAAGAAGCTTCCCAAGTTCTTTTTGCTTCAAAGGCACACGGCTCGCATCTGTTTGTGGAAGCGAGGAGAGCTCCAAAGAATATCTTCGGGAGGTTGGAGAGGCCTAGGAGGCTAAGACTTAGATCGCAAATGACACCTTCTTGGACCTATATACAGTATATATATATATATATGCTAGCCCCCCCCAAAAAAACCTATGTTTCTGAGCGCTGGTGTGCAGTTGGTAAGCATATTTGTTCATTTAACTATGTACTACAAATATGTCCAAATCCATAAGGTTATGTGAGTTTACTAAACAGTTCTTGGATGGAGTAATCTACTTTGTATATTCAACTCTACTCTACTTTGTATATTCAAATTCAAACTTGAGTCTGTTTCAATTATTTGTAAATATAGATTCTAATTTACTATAGATTCTAATTTAGTTGGGATTCAATGCAAGCCTAATTTTAATTTGATTTCAAGCTAATTCTAACTTCATTGCTATACAAGTCAGATTCAATTCTAATAGTGTGTTCTTTTTCAATTTAGTTTTAATTTGAGTGAAATTCTCATTTACTTCTTCTAGAGAAGTGGTGTTACTTTGAACATGAGAGATTTTATGTAGTTTTTCCAATATAGAAGAATGTGCTTTCTTAAATGAATTAAATTCACCACCAGCAACACCCACTCTCTAGAATGACACCAAAACTGAATTAGAAGTCCATGTGCACTGAACTAGAATCAATATAGGATGAAATTAGACATATAGAAACCAAACCTAATTTGCAATGACAATAGTGTAAAATTAGATGTGTAAAACAATTGAATCTGAACCGTAAAAAGGCATTAACATTAGAAATTAATTACTAGTAAATTGGAAGAGTCAAAGTTACAATTGAACCCAAATTAGAAAGAAATAGAACTAAATTAGAAGTACAGTGGACTGGAATTAAATTAGAGTTGAAAGAAACACATTGAATATTAATCCATTGCTTAAATTGAAATTGACTTAGAACTAAGGTAGAAATGAATTAGAGTTGTTTTACCTAGAGCTTGGTTAGTAGAACAGTATTGACTTAGAACTACATTGGAATCTAAGTTCAATTAGAATTGAACTAGATGTAATTTGCAATCTCAATTTGATTTCAACTATATAAAGTTCAAGTAGGATCATTTTCTATTTAAATTAGAAGCACGTTGCAGATTCAAATTTAGATTTAAGATTGAATTCCATTAGATCTAAAATAGCCAAACATAATTAGAATTAAAATAGAAATGAGTAAATTAGAATAAAAACTGAATTAGAATTTGTCTATACAATGAAGTTAAGCTAAATAGACTTAAATTAGGGGCTTAAAGTAGAACTATGTTACATACTCAAATTAAAGTAGAACTATGTTACATACTCAAATTAGAATCCATTTAAAGTTCAATTAGACTCAACTTGGAAATTAAATAGAAAAACAAGTGATTTTAAATTGGAATAAGAACTGACTTAGAATTTAGCTAAATTGTATGTGCACTAAAATTCATAGAAGTAAATTAGAGTTGAATTAGTTGTTAGTTAGAATTGAATGAGGAACAAATGTCGGTAATCAGTAATATTCCAGGATCAAACCGTACTTAGTGCAATTTTGTCACTACCAGAGAATGCCAGAGAATGCATTCCTGCCCAATACCAAGACCAAGATCCAAGATTTGCACAGAAGTCTTGTGGAAAATCTTGGAAATACCAAGACCAAGATCCAAGATTTGGAAAATCTTGGAAATACCAAGACCAAGATCCAAGATTTGCACAGAAGTCTTGTGGAAAATCTTGGAATTGGATCTTGGATCTTTGTATTTCCAAGATTTTCCACAAGACTTCTG